TCTGTCAGTTGCTGTAATTGTTTGTAGGTAATCATATCAGGGCCCGAAGCTGTTTTACAATTTGACTCCTTCAGCCCTATTATAGGTTCTTGAATTGTGAAGGGAGCATCCATTATGTCGTTGCTTTATTTTCCTCTGGCCACTTTGGGTACTCCGGATGCCTTGCCGGTTGTGGAAAAAATGTGTTGGCACACGTATCAGCGGTGGCTGGTGCTAATGAATCGGACGCCAAACAGAGTTTTTCAGCGGCTGTTCGAGTTTTGCCCCGGCCTTCCAATGATTTCACAATGTTCCATAGCCTTTGGTTATTTATCCAACCGTGTAGCTGGTTGCAGCAATCCTGCCACTGTTGCCTACGTAGCTTGCATGCATACTTTGATGCTTGTCTCGTAAGAAGCTTAAGCTTCAGACGATTGGGAGCTGATTTTTCAGTCCTGTATGCATGTAAAGCAGCTATGCATGCCTCCCACAAGTTAAAGGGGTGCCTATCGGCCACAGGCTTTTGAGGAATCTTTTTGTAGGTTTTGCTTGCCTTCCTTGTCGCTTCTCGTATATGTTTGGTAAATTCGTCAAGGGTGACTATTTCAGGGCATCCATCCATATAAGACCGATACTTGTCCCAATCAATGAAGGAATACTCCTTTGACATAGTAAAAATTTCGCCCCAGGCAATCACAATTGGTAAGTGGCCGCTGCCAATATTGTCGGGCCATAAGTTCCAGTGCGTACCTTTTAATAGGCGCCTAACCCACGTGAGGGCTGGCGATGTATTATTCTGATTCGCGCCACCAATCCTTGTGTACTGGCCTGGCGTGTTGAGGAGGGTAAAGCCGGTGTCTTCCAAATCTTTTTTGAGTTGCTTCCCTTTGGTAGAATCTTGTGAGTATCCCCCAGAAGATGTATGGTGCGTTAACGTCTCCCAAAATTAAGGTTGGACCTTTAGGATCTATTTTACTGAGGGGTAGCTCCACATTACTTGATTTGGAAGGGCTGTAGCAGTTTAATATTTCGTATGTCTTACCCTCTATTTTGGTACGAGTCAGAATTTACAAGAATGAAACTAAAGAAAGGAGGTCGTGGACTGCCGGAAGGTTCTTCTTTGTATACATAACACATCAGCCAGATGAAACGCCAGCATAGCCCGGAATGGGGCAATATTTACCCGGTTCCTGCACGCAAATGATATAGGGAGTTTTTTTGAGAACGTTTATGATGTAAAGGAAGTCATCAACTTTTTTGGGAAGGCTTCTCGCGTTCTACTGAATTATCATAGGCATGATTCTGAACCTATGGTTTCTTCTTGATCTGCATTTGCAATAGGCCTGATGCGTTTGTTACCTTCAACCGACGTTTTTGGTTTGAGTGTCTTAATAATGTGTTGCATGTGCTGTAGCTGTGCAGCAAATTGCTCGAAGCGACGCTCGTATTGCTCATGCTCGGGGGGGGGGGGGGGGGGGGGTTGCCCTTGACTCGAGGTTAGAGCGCCTCTGGCAGCGTTTTCTTCTTTAAATTGAATAATCACAGTTTTGAGTTCATCAATAGTTTTCTGTTGGTCACTAATAATTTGCAGATACTTCTTCTGGGTGTTTCGTCGTTCCGTTAGTTCTTGCAGAACGTTTAGATACGTCTGTGGTGCAGGCGAGGCATTAGGTGGAGACTGTGTGTTATGCACCTTAGCTGCATATGTGGTGGGGATTGTTAGCTGCATCTGAGGTTGTGTTGCCGACTGCGGGCACGTCTGCGGTGTAAGTGTTAGTTGATCGGTTGCAAGAGATTGAAAGTTCTGTTCCTCTGACTGTTGCGTCTTCTGGGTCTTTTTGCCTGATGCGCAGCGGTTTGTTAAGGAATAGGGTGCCGCTGGCTTGTGTGGTTTGTTCACTCACATACGAAGAGCAGCAGTAGCTGCTGCTACCTTTGGACAGTCGGTCGAGCGCGAGTCATGGTTCCACTGTAGTGTATGCATTTCAGAGTACGGATAAAATCCTCCTCATGTTTCGTATGGCACTTTGTGCAAACTCCTGGGTCCATTTTCAGGGCTGTGCAAACATCAGCTCTGTGTCCTATGCCTAAGCAGTTCAAGCATGACATTATCTTGGGTCTGTATTTCTGCACAGGGAAACGTACCGATTCGAAAGCCACGTATTCTGGCAGGTCTGAACCGTTGAACGTGATTAGTGCTGTGTTACACGACCCGAGGGGCCGTGCTGACACGATTTCGTGACTTGAGCTTGTCAGGCCTTGCATTAACTGCTCTTCAGTTAATCCCTTGATTCTGTGAATGACGCCTTTTATGCGGCCTTCACGGAGCGCTACATATGTATTAAACTGCACGATTTGATCGTCAATCATCAGGTGCTCCAGGATCAGCAATAGATGTGCAGCTTGCTCTGTGTAGCAATCAACTACTGCTAGGTTAGACTTGGTGAGGAGTCTGCAGTGAATGTCCGACCCCTTTATTTGAAGAAGAATTAGACTATACGCAAACTAGTATGGCGGAATCTGGGTGATGTTAACTGCCTGATCTCACGCCTATGCCTCCTGCACAGTTTTTTTTTCCGCCGGAAATCAAGACACGAACTTTTACAGCCTCCTAACAGAACTTCTTCTCGCATTAACCATTCTATCCCCATTGCACCAATCAACAGCCGTACATCTGCAATGAACGACTCCTTTTTCTCCCAAGCAATTACACTTTGGAATCGCCTCCCCGACTCCATAGATATCACACCTGACCGCACATCATTCCGTGCAAAATTGGAATCCCACTTTAATTCCACCCAATAACCCATGGCTCTAGATATATCCCACCAGCGTACTGCATGTATAATTTTTTTTGCCATATTGTTTCTACTCATTTTCCCAGTCAAAAGTTTCTTTTATTTATTGTTTGATTAGTTGTTGTCATTATGGACCAAACTGCCATATGCGTATTTAGAACTGTATTGTTTATGATAAGTTGTTTACATTGAATCGTACACCCTCACAGCGTATTTGTTGCCCCCCTCCCCTCCTTTATGTAATGCCCTCGGGCCTTTAAGGATGCAATAAATGAAAATGAAATGTTTTAGGCCTCAACATCATGGTCTCAAATAAGGTCTGTGGCTGTGGCGAGGTTGATGGCTTGGGTCGCAGGAGTTTTCGGTTCTGTACTACAGTCCAGCTTTCCTGGTCGTCCATAGCTGTATGCTCGGATGCCACATGATGTTCAGCAAAAAGATGCGGGCTTACTTGATTTCCTGTGGTGGTAGGGCCATTTGATGGTGTGTTGCTCGGAAGCCCTGACCGGGATGATCCTTGAATGATGGGGTCCCCTGGCTGGCTGTTAGAAGCATCATCCAGTTGGCTAAGGAGTTGGAATCTTGATAGTGGGATCATCTCCTCTCTTAGGTGGGCTCCCCTTCCCCTACAAGGGTAGCCGCCTCGGTGATGAGCGGTACAAGAGAACCGTTGACAGACGCCAGAAGCGTTCGTTGCAGTAGCCTGCCATGACAACCTTCCATCTCGTCGGTCAGAAATCGTCTCCTCGCCATTGGCTTCAAGATTGCAGACGCTTTTGTTTCAACTGCGCCCCGCTAGATGGCACCACCTGTCTCGTGTAACCACACGAAAATTGAATTTTCGAACCACTCGCGCCATTCCCCATAATAAAGTCCGGCGGTTCTTTTTTTCCATGAATCAAACAGAAACGAACAAGCAGCATTTTATTGCGTCTCTTGATGCACGGAAGGTTCTTTATTTAGTGCAGTTAGATCGATTACTAGTGATTCATTGTAGGCGGTCCGTCTGATGTCATCGGGATAATTTTGAAAATGTTCTACTGCGGCACTTGTGTTCTTGTGCATTTACCTTAATTTCTCGGTAAGTAGGGCACTGTTCGTGATAATATTGTCATTTTAGATGTTGTCATACGTTGAGCTTTCACTCCGACGTAAATTGTTATTTGACTTCAGTGTCCCTTTAAATGGAACCACTGATTCTCACACGATTGGGCCTGTGCTTGGATTCTGCACGCATATTTATCTCTCAGTAAATGGAACTCCCGTCAAATGGAACACACTTTGTTAATCCCTTCTTGTTCCATTTAATGAGTCTACAGTATAAAGCAAAATGGCAGACACTGTGATCCATATTTAAGTGTCTTGCACAGGGCTGTGTGGCATACCGGTTTTCTGATACCTTTCTATAAAAATAAAAAAAAATATAAATCGTATTCAAATCGTGGAAAGGCTGCTTGAGTTTGTCATTATAATTCACAGTCTTTTCATCTAATCGCACATCCTAGCCAGTTGGTCCTTTTCAAGAGATTTCTATTAACTGAGAGTATATTATGACTTTGATTAGGCATGAAAAGTGGTGACAAATGTGTTCGAAATCGCATGTAGGTGCTTGGCATAGAAAATGTCTGAGTTTCCGGAGTAATTAGACCTTTGTTTCGGTAAGACATACTCTATTAGATTGCCCTTCAGCGTCTCACGAGTTTTCTTCCATGGAGGTCATGCAAAACAGCTGTGCCAAGCAATTTTTCTTCACTAGTGACGTCTCTGCTATAACAACCATGATATCGCGTGTTTTATACTCGCCATCACGACTGTAAGCGATGCCAACTTACACTCCTAAGTTTGCTTGTGAACTCGGACAACTACTGAACTTTGAACACTCCAGTGGCTCATTTGTTATAACAACAGACAAATTATATAAAGTTTGCAGGTTCTGACCCTGTTGGTGGCAACTTTTCTTTTTTTTTCTTGCACTTTGATTTCTTTGTTTGTATCATAATTCAACAGTACAGCAAAAATACTACAAATAACGCCCCCTATACATCCCATGGCTTCATTTTCATTGTCTGTAGGCTCTTCTTAAAGTGGTCTCCGGAAGAGGTGCTACGAATGCGTTGTTGCGTAAAGCGGCCTGTGGTGCTCAACATAGCAGCATGTTGCCAAGGCAGTCACAATCCGGTGGGTGGGCAGCCAAGACGTATTCATTGCTCGCCGTCTTTCCAGGGGTCGAGACATCTATGAGCCACCACGCTTCATGACAGTCGCAGAAGCAGCCTCCCAGCTGATCGAGATACTCCAGGTGAAAAAATCTGAAGGCGTTCCTGCATCAGAATTGGGTGAGTCATTGTGGGATGTCCTGACACTGCTATTTATGCCCAGTTTTACATTAGATTCATGGCTGGCGCCTTCTCGGTCTGCTAGACGAACCTAAGCATGTTCGTGATACAGTCAATTAAATTGTAGCCACATAAATACATTAATAAAGTGGCGACAGTGACAATGCCTTAGGTTCAGCTGTGAACAATGGTGATCTGTCACCATCATTCTTGCTGGACAGATGTTTGGTCATACACTAGGAAGGATTAGGCAGCACCCTAATTCTCTAGGGAACGTGCTTTCTTATCCCCATACCTTTACATATCCAGACCTCTCCTGTGATGGATCATTCGAAGTACAAGTTTATAAATGTGCCAATCTTGGACAATAATTGGCAGCCGTGGAATTCTGATGTTCCAGGAACTGTGCATTTCCTGTATTTTATCCCGACAAGCTGGCTGCTAAAGACGGGCAATTTTTGAGAGGCACATCATTATTTCATTGTAGTGTTTAAACTTTGTAGTAAAACTTTAGACTCAACCAATCAAAAGGGGAGGGGTCTGCAATGAAACTCAGCCTAAATTAATGAAGAACGTAAAAGAAGCTCGGAAGTACACAACGTATTTCATAATTCTACATGCACTGAAATTACCATGTATGCCAGCTCATTTTCGTCTAGAAGAAGAATTCACAGGATATCCACGGAGTGAGCGACGATGAGTGGAGCGTCTGTCCGCTACTATCACACTAGAACTTGCATCAGATGGACCGACGCATCGCCCCACTTATCATTGTTCACTCCGTGGATATTCTGTGAATTTCTTATTATAACAGCGCCATATATCCTTTTTAATTGTCAACTATATGAAAGCCACTAATGCCATTTAGTGAGCAATTCATAAACTAAAGGTGTCTACATAGATATACGTACTACATACTAACGAAGGAGGGAATGAGCTACACCCTAAGGAACTTTGCTCTTAAAAATAAGCAAGTAACTTTTTATATCTGGTGCACCGCATTTCAATTGCATTCTTGGTTCCAGCCTATAACGAAGACAGCGCCTGTGTCGGTCTGGCTCGTGTTGGCATGGAAACGCAGCAGATCACGTGCTGTTCGCTCAAGGCTATGTCAAACTGCGACCTGGGGAGTCCCCTGCACAGCCTTGTGATTCCTGGCAAGCTTCATCCAATGGAGATCGATATGTTGAGGCTGTTTGTGACGAATCCGATTTGGTTTGACGCTGTCTGCAAGGAGGGAAGTTGATGAATTTCACGAGTAAAGATGATCTAATGATAACTTGTTTCTGGCTTATCTCGTGTTTCAATGAAATGGTGCATCACCAGACAAAGGAGGAGGACGATGTGCACTCCTGTCCTAGTTCCTTTGTTTACTCAAGTGCTGTTTTATCAATGTGAGCTTCAACCAGCTCACACTACTTACTGTCTTGCTTCAGTACATCTCTGGCATCTAGTAGCAATCTTCAGAAATAGAACTGTGTCCTCTTCCTTCTCTCAGTTGTTTTGTGCCATGCTTAATTGTGATGTATGACCAACACACCCAGGGTTCCACTATAAGATTGTCAAGTGCATCAATTCCCTGTAGCTGTTTTGTGTTGTCTTGTATTTGCCGTAGATGTCCTCATGTTGACCAGGCGGCCCTTGCAGCAGTGCAGTAGCACTGCCTCGTGAGAGAGTGTTGGAAATGTCTTTATTAGGAACTAAACTTATTAATGTAGAAATCCATGGACATCTAAACGCTTAGAAGGAAAGGCAGTTAAAAAAACATGAAAACAAAAAGAACACAAGTACCACAGACTCTGGTACCACCCATGCTTTTTTATGTCATCATGTTTAAGGGCTCTTTTTTTTTATTTCAGTATGTCACAACAAATCGCCTAAATTCAGCATTTACGGCATCAGATGTGAGCTCTCCTTTACGAGTTGTGCATTCGAAAGTGTTATCGTCCACTGAAATGCTGCCTAGCGGCTCTTCGAGTTTAGTACTGCAACATCATCGATGTGTTGCGCTACGAGAGACCGCCCGAGCGGCTCTCGCCACCGAGGCTATAGAGTTTTCTAAAATTAACTAAATGGGATTCTGGCACTGCGATCATTTAGCAACCATGGGAATGATGGGTAGTACACCGCACCTGCCAAGTTCAAAGATTCTGAATCCGGGAGATTTCCGCAACGGGGGGAAGGGGGGTGCACGACACAAAAAAAAACAAGGACAAACAAACAAACTAACAAAAACATTGCGAAAAACGAAAAAGGGTAGGAGGGGGGTCTCAATTGCAAGCGCCATTATCAGCATTGGGGTCTTATATTGGCTAGGAGTGGCCGAACACACGAGGGTAGAGTTTTTCACTAAGGTGAGAGTCTCCAAGGACCAACACAGCAAGCAGAATATATTTCAGTCAAAACAACTCGCGTGTGTCTTCCTGGGACACATGTGAATGGACGCGACGGCGCAGCTGGCTGTCGCAAAAGCACGGGTCAAAGCTTTGCTCACTACTAGATTCTTTTGACAAGAACACTAAAACGCGTCTGGCTCCTTTCTATTGCAATAGCAATCATACAAACAGTCCAGGCTGTTTTTTTTTGCCATCGCCACTGCCGCCGTCTTTCACCGTATATGTATACGTATCTAAATATATGAACGCTCAAAGAAAAAAAGTCGCCCATGCTCGGCGCCAAGCTCGTCACGATGCGCCAGCGCGTGCTTATCTCTCACGTGCATTTTGCTCTGTAGATAGATGACTGCGCGCGCGCTTATCCTTTGGAGGGGTAATTGTTTGCCTTCGGCTTTCACTAAAATGAAAGCGTTAGTTGCCTGGCCCACAAAGGTCACTTTGGTCTCTGCTCAGGCCCCTTTTGTGAAAACAACGTGCTTTTCATACACGGCAATGTATAACTGGGACACTGGTTAGTTTGTACTCATCTGTACCTGTGACTACGTATCGCGCATCGTTTTTGTTTAAAAAGCGCATTACGTGTCGAGTGGTAAACGTTGCTAGCTCGCTCTCGTCCTGCGAGTATCGTTTCTTGCGTGATTTGTGTGTGAGCAGCGCACTGCACGTTTCGATCTGCTTGCCGTGCTGAGCGTTACATTCCAAGTTGTTGCTGTCCCATTTATTCCTTCGCTCTAGCTGTGAAACTTAACTTTTTATTTTTTATATATTTACTGCCTTTAACCTACCGCTGCGTGCCCTCAGACCTCCAAAACTAAGTCATTTTATGCCATCTACGATAGCATCTGCCGCAGTTTTGTTTGCAGAGTTTGCGGAAAGTAGCGTTGCTTCGACTGGTTGAGCGCACACTTTCAGATGATCGTGTCAAGAGCGACCGCGGTTTCGTCCACAGTGGCAGCGCCTCCTCTATTTTTAGATGCCTGCTGCGTCGCCTACTCTCTCATTGTCCTTGCTTTGCCGTCACCGCTTCTTGGGTGCACCACAAGGCGGCGCGAGGTTCTGACACTACTTGTTTAGTCGGGCTACATTTTCGTGGCAGAGTAGAAAGCGCGGAAAACCCATACTTGCCAGTTTTCTTTTTTTTTAATTGTACCTGCGAGGCCACCTGCATAACTTACCGCTGCGTGCCCTCGGACCTCCAAAACTAACTCGTTTTATGCCATCTACGATAGCATCTGCCGCAGTTTTGTTTGCAGAGTTTGCGAAAAGTAGCGTTGCTTCGACTGGTTGAGCGCACACTTTCAGATGATCGTGTCAAGAGCGACCGCGGTTTCGTCCACAGCGGCAGCGCCTCCTCTATTTTTAGATGCCTGCTGCGTCACCTACTCTCCCATTGTCCTTGCTTCGCCGCGACCGCTTCTCGGGTGCACCACAAGGCGGCGCGAGGTTCTGACACTACCTGTTTAGTCAGGCTACATTTTCGTGGCAGAGTAGAGAGCGCGGAAAGCCCGTATTTGTTAGCTTTCTTTTTTTTTTTAAATTGTATCTGCGAGGTCACCTGCATAACTAAAGTTCATTGTCGGCTTGAAAATGCATAAAGCGGAGGATCCAAGAATGCAACAAACAAAAACATCAGGATGACGGCAGAAAAGAACCGGTATGATGAATTTATTCAATTCATTTCTTTATAAATTCTTCAATCTTCTACAACATCTTGGCAGCGTGGTACTATACATTCATATAAGTGCATAATAAAGAAAATTAACAAGGGAAAACAAACAGGCAAGTGACATTATTTCAACATTCTTCAAATCAAACAGACAATGACCTAGCATCAATAAAGAAGAAATAAAATAAACGCACGAAAAACATCTCTGCTGGGCAAGAAAATGTGTCCTATTGAAAAACATGGTCTTGTAGGAAACAGAATTAAACTCCATTCATAAAAAAAGTTAAAAAGCAGAAGCACCACTTTCATACAATGAGCACTGAACATAAAACAAACATATCAGCTTGTAGGAAAGGCAGTGTTGATGAAACACATATGCACGCATAAAAAAAAGCAAAGAGAAACCAGATGCATCACTCCATACAAACGATTCAAAGTTTCAGCACTTTGCGCGAAGGTGGCTTTTTTTTATATAATTTGGCCACTACATTTCGGTCAGTGATGTCCAATGCGTGGTTAGAAAGCAATGGTTTAATAAATTTTTTGCATATCAATTCCACAAAACTTCTCCAGCAGATTTCATCACATTGATTGCAACACAGGTAAACTTGTTGCAATATTGACGCTGTGCTTCATGCACTCCTCAAGAGGCTTTCGCAAAGATTTGCAGTCAGACAGCATAATGTCTACATACCTCTTAAGAGCATGTAATACTCTGATAAGCTGCTGTGCAGGATAGAACAGACCACCTCTGTTTTGGTCTGCGATCAGCCCATCCATACCAAAGTCCCCTTTCGGCTTCTAGACAAGAGATATGCAACTGTCACACACAGTTTTTTCGCTCACTACACGAGATATGTATCCAGCGACAAGTGCAATGGCAGCCATGTGTGGAGTAGGTAGGAAGCTGCTTGTCGACATGCACACTTCTCGAAGTGCTTGCTGAGCAAGCTTCACATTTACAGATACCGCGACTGTGCTGCCATCCACTTGAGCGACAGTTACTGCTCGTGAAGAGCAGAGTGATGCAGAACTGCTCACGTTACTTTTCTGTGATGCTGCACAGATTCCTGTCTTCAGCATCTTCTCTACCCCACATAGGGCACTTCACACGTCCATGACGTCGTTGCAACCTGCCGTTCGTCTCAAGAATCTAAAAAAGAATTCAATTGGATAGCTAGAAAACTTTCTTGTGAGAACAAACTGAAAGTTGCACTCGTTCAAAAGAAATCTTATGCACTCTACATTTGAGACGGTTGTAAACACTAGTGCATGGTATGTTTCCTTGCTTAAAAAGTTCTGCTGTAAGCTGGCCTCCTTCAAGTCTTCCACATACTCTAAAAAAATAAGTTCAACCGCAGCCTTACGTCTTCGGGGTCAGAAAATTCTTTTGCATCAGGATTGTTTTGGTGAATGTGCTGTTGGCAATTGCTGACATCCATAAGCACAAACCACCTGTACATGTTCGACATGAATTCCACAGTTAGACCTACATTTTCAAGCTTTAGATCACTAGTGTGACCTTCCTGATCCTTCATGAAGTGCAAGGCAGCTTTGACCAGAGGGTAGAGCACTTGGATGGCTGTTCTCACTCCCATTTTTTCAATGTTCGTGGGAAAAATGTGCTTTCTAGTAAGAAAGCGAACTGGCTTCACTGTGGAGCCTTGCTGCATCTTGTACAAGTCCTTGAGATATTCAGATGAGATTTCTTTATTCCCACACATTTCTTTTGAGAGGAACTGCGACCGTACATTCTTGATTATATGGGTTTGGTCAAAAGCTAGAAACAGTTGCCTCGAAGCATAAGTTGGGTGGGGTATCCGGGTTCGCAGTTGTTGACAGAATTTCCATTGCAAGAATGTTTCTTGTGGTTGACTCTCACTAACCGCAGAATGTGGTATCCCACTTCTTCAGTTTTCTTTATGATGAGCTTTATTGCCTCAGCAAGTAGCTCACCTGAACATCCTTTAGTAAAGAAGTAGCCTATGAGAATTTTAAGCTTGCTGTGCAGACCACAAAGCAGAAAACATTAAAAGGAGTTTTTTTTTTTTTTTTTTCCGTAGGCAAAAGGTGGTTTAGGTCAGCACCTAAACCAACATCTCCCAGAAATGCATCCCTCTGCTTATTATACTGAAGTTTTTATTGGATACGCATCTCATCTACAACGAGGCTGCAGTGTTTTGACTGAGGAGATGTGAGGCACTCCAGCTCAGTACTCAGC